GTAAAACTAACCCCTCGCATTTTCTAAATTACATTTCTACTTATAGCTTTTAAAATTATTTAACAAGAAATTGACGTATAGATTATACTATAGTAAATGACGGCCGCAACACAGAAAACAGCAAGGAGTTAGTTTGAAATTCATTTGCTTTGGATACCCTAAAACTTTTTTATAGTTGTGTTTTGACCCTTGTAGTTTTAGCAAAGTGTAAAACTAACCCCTCACATTTTCTAAATTACATTTCTACTTATAGCTTTTAAAATTATTTAACTAGAGTCCCTTTGGACTAAATCTAAACTCATCAAATAACTCTGTAAAGTTGTAAACCACTAAGTTAAAGGGAACTTTTATATATTATTTTCATTATATATCATTAATATATATTTATGACGTATTTATGATATCATCCGATTTGACTCTTGAATTAACTGATCGAACTTATTGACTCCTAATCTCCGATTTCAATCGAGTCGCTTCTTGGTTTGAGTTTCAAAACATAGAATGGAAGTTTTAGCCAAAACCTAGAATGATCCTAATCTTATCCTTTCGAAGTGATTTTTTATGTGTTACTCCATCCATTGCACAGCGGTCACTATCACTAAAAATCGTAGATGCCGAGTCCACTTGAGTATAAAGTTTTCAAGGAAATCAAAGTAATAGTGGATGGTATCCAGGAGATAATATACTTCAAATCTGGAATAAGAATCGACTGTACTAGTCTTAGGTTCCGTTTGATAAAACTGAATCTGAATTCTGAAGTCTGAATTCTGAATTCTGAAATCTGAATACTGAAACAATTAATTCGCTGAATTTTAAGCACTGAAAAGAAATATATAAATGTTTGAATTTTAATGTTAAACTTATTTATGCTGTTTGATAAATATTTATAACTGAATGCTTAATAAGTTTAATTTGACAATTTTGCCCTTATATCTTTTCATTCAAAAAAATAGAACCTACAATTTAATTAGCTTAAAATTGTTAGGTATGAAAATGATAATATTTATTTTTAAATCAAATTAATATAAAAGATGAAATATATTATATAAGGAGTATGGAGAAAAAATGAAAGTCATTAAAAAGAGAGAAAAGAGAAACAAAAAACCGTTATATAGAAAATATCAGGTTGTTTAATTAGATAAGAATTTTGAATATAATTAACAAACAAGGATAGATTTGGTAGATAAGATAAGATAGTTGAAATAATTCTATTGATTCTTATCAGAATTAAACATTTAGTTAGAATTCTTGTGCTGAAAAAAATACACACAAGTTCATCACTGCTTAACAAATTCAGCAGATGGATTTTCATTTATCAAACATTCAAAACATCTGAATGTCTGAAAAGGTTCAGTTTTAGCACTATTTTATGTTATCAAACAGACCCTTAGACAAACAAAACAGTGTAAACTTGACTTAACTGACCAAAAGTTCAATACTCGATAGTATACTTGGCAATTGATCGGGTTGGAAGGGTTGATATTAGGTTTTCACTTAAATGGGATTTATCTAACCCGCTTAACTTTAGATTGGATTGATTTTGGGTTGGATCATATTGGGTCATTTCAAACCCATGACCCAAATATGACTCAATATATTAATTAATACATTGTGATATATAAATTCTCTCTTATACATTTACACATACAAAAAGATTTTTTTTACATACATAAATACATTTTCAAATGCATAAATATATTTTCGCACGCTAACACACTTTCACACACACAAACCCACACTCACTTCTAAAACTCCTTGAAAATACGTCATAAATACAATAATATTTTATGTTGTTTGTATTGCGAATTTTAGATAATAAATTGTACATTTAAATAGATTAGCTAAAAAAATTTGTTTGCTTTATACTTTTTAACACCATTAATTGATTGAAACTTATTTTTGTCACAACTTATTTAACACTTTTACTATTTGTATTTGCTCTATTGTAAGTTGTAATATTCTGTATATTTAAATTATTGAATGCTAGATTATATTATGCTAAAAAATGTAATTAAGAGACATATAATTTGTTGTATTATAATATTGGTGAGGAATTAAGAAATGTAAAAGAATGCAATTAGAACAAATTTAAAATTCTATTCTGGGTACACGAACTATTAACAAATAGAAATAAGTAGCAATCAGAGAACAACAATAAAAAAAAGGGAGGAAAGCAACATACTTTTAAAAGACATAATAAATTATTATAGATGTTGAGCAAGTTTAAGTATTGTTATAAAAGTAAAATAAGCATGACTTTTTATTTCAATTTTTTTTCTTTTAAATAAAAATTTTAAAAATTGATTGAAAACATATATATGAGAATTTTAAATACAAATTGGTCAATGAATTATTAACACATATCTAAATACAGGTGATTAGACAGATGCGTATTGAATTATTTTTAAACAAGTTGAATATTAGGTATTCAAATAAAAAAAATAACCTGCCCAATAAATAAATTGAGTTGTACTTACCCAACCCAACAAAACCCATAATCCAACTGACCCAATCCATCCTTTCAAATTACTGAACGGATTGGACAGGTTGTTGAATTTTGAGGTTTCCTGCCCGTTCTACTCGATGGCAACCATTGTAGTCCAAGGCGATATCCCAAAATTGGGATACGTTACGGTTGTTGTAAGAATGCTTCTACTAAACCTTGCAATCAGATTTTACGTGTAGGTTGGTACTTGGGCTTAATACCTGGACCTTCCTTCCTCACAACAGGACTTGCCAAGCCTATGTCTCTTGGTTTTCTCAAAAATTTGAAATCATTTAGAAAATGTTTCTTTTTCCTATTGTTTTTCCAATTAAAATATTATTTTGCAAATTTTTTTGGGTAACTTGATGAATCATATAATACAATACCGGGTGGCAATTTATAACTTTTACTAAACACTCTTTCTTCTAGCCTATTTTTTGTCTTTCCAAATCGTTGCATTTTTAGAACCCCATAGTTGGCCTTTTGTTTTTCAAACCATAAACCATTTCCAAAGCCATTCTTTTATTTTTTTTTTCCAGAAACGATACTTTATTATTATTTTTTCCATCAGAAAAGGGCCACAACAGTGCGCTTTGAGACTATCTTGATACCAAAGAGAGTTTTGCTCATTAAGTACATACTTGCATAGAAGCCTAAGCTGAATTGACACAATTTATTTGGTTCTTATTCTGCCCTGATTTAGAGCTTTAGCTTAATTGGGCATTTCTATATTCAGAAACAGTATAAAATGAAGTAAATTATATTATATAAGAGACATGAACAATTCACCTTCTTTTACTGTGAAACTAAAATAGGTACTATGGAAGTATCAAATGCCGGGGAAAAATTGACAGAATGCAAAAGTAAAAAGATTAAAAATGAGCGTACGCGATTCGATTGACACGAATTCAACTCTAAATGGATTTAGTACCTGTTTGATAACATAAAAAAGTGCTGAAACTGAATTCATTCAGACATTCAGAGGTCAGAATGCAAAAGTAAAAAGATTAAAAATGAGCGTACGCGATTCGATTGACACGAATTCAACTCTAAATGGACTTAGTGCCTGTTTGATAACATAAAAAAGTGCTGAAACTGAATTCATTCAGACATTCAGAGGTTTTGGGTGTTTGATAAATAAAAAGTCACCTGCTGAACCTATTAAGTGGTGCTGAATTTGTATGTATTTTTTTCAGCACAAGAATCGTAACTGAATGCTTAATTTGATAAGAATCAAGAGATTTACTTCAACTACTTTATCTTATCTACCAAATCTATCCCTGTTTGTTAATTACATTAAAAATCCTTATCTAATTAAACAACCTAATATTCTCTATTCAAAATTCTTATCTAATTAAACAAAACAACCTGATATTCTCTATTCAAAATCCTTATCTAATTAAATAACCTGATATTCTCTGTCTAATGGCTTTCTACTTCTATTTTCTCCCTATTTAATGACTTTTACAATTTCTCCATGCTCCTCACATCTGTCTACTCTTTATCTTTTTCCATCTTTCTACTCTTTCATAATTTTGTCATTTTTTCCTCCCAAATTTTTTTTATTGCTACCGTACTCAGCGATCTCAAATTCATTTTTTCCAAGGTAAGTGACATTGATTATTTGTTGTTTTACTTCAACATTTTTCTATTGAAATAATTAAATTTCGATATAATTTGGTGTGAATTTAAATCTTGTTTATTGCAGCTTCCTTTTGCTTATATTTGGACTTTTCTTATCAAACTGTGAAGGGAGGCCATCACGAATTCCTAAGCTTAAACAGGTACCATCACTAGTTATATTATTATTATTTTATTTTGGGAGTGGGAGTTGTATTGCAACTATAGTATAGCCTTGGATTACCAATGCTTTGGTGTCACTTAACAGGCTAAATGTCAAAAACATTAGCTCTATAAGTCTTTGCACACATTTATATGGCTTAAATATTTATGCTAACACCAAAAAATAGTTCCTTAGAGCCGAATCGTTAACATGCCTATGAGTTAATAAGAGTACAACTAGGAAAATATTAGTGGGTGCCTGACACACTGTTTGACTTCATATAAAATCATATTGCCTTGCCATCAATTTGCTCTTTTGAATAGGCAAATAGATTCCCAGAATTTTTAGTTTGTCGTCCCAATTTAGTACTAGAATAGATAATAGCATAATGGAGATATATATATATATATATATATATATATATATATGTATCCGAAGACTTAACTGATGATGATGCATTTCAAAATTTCTCAAGGCATGACTATTTAATGCAAACTAACTTGTTTATTACAATTTATTTTATAATTTAATTTAAGATTCTTGATTCTTTAATTTAACTTTCATTAGTGGTATGATCATTTGATCAAACTGTAATATGCCTTATCCTTAATATGGGTGTCTCTACATATTCAACAAAAATTCCTTTTATGTTGTTTTTTCAGTTCCATTTATTTTTATTTTTTACTTTTCTATATGTTATGATATATAGGTTTACCTATGTGCAATGTAGGTATGAAACGAGAGAATTCTGTCAGGGCTAATTGGAAAGACTCGGAAGTATTCCGGCGATTTATAGAATTATGTTTGATTGAAGCACGCCCTAATAATTACAGTGGAAGCAGTTTAAAAAAAGAATGTTGGGAACGAATTAGATCAACTTTGAAAGCTGAAAATAAGGGCGATTTTACGCAAAGAAAATTGAAGAATGAATGGGATTATTTGAAACAAAAATATATAATTTGGGCAAGACTCATTGGTAACACAGGGAATACTCATTATGACCCTGTTACCACTACCATCAATTGGACTTCAAAGCAATGGGAAGAGTACTTAAAGGTACCTAAGTTTATATATCAAATTTATTATTTAAATAATCGGCATACTTTTGAAAATAATTTTTTTGTACATATTGTTACAGGATAATCCCAAAGCAAGCAAATTTTGTTTTAATCCACTGGAATATCCAAATGAAATGAGGGCATTATTTGATGGTATTGTGGCTAGCGGAAAAAATGTGTGGGGTCCATCTAAAGAGGGATTACCACAGGATGGTCTTGAATCTTGTTCACAGACATGTATCAATTTGGAAACGGAAGAAATTGATATGGCCTCTTCTTCAACTAAGAAATCAAAACAGGAAATCAAGAGTGAAGGCAAACATCCAAAAAAAACCAATGTTGAAAAACTACATGATGTTGATAGTCAGTTGATGAATGTTATTGAGATCTTGGAAAAGTCAGATGGACCAAGTATTAAAGATTGTAACGAGATTTTAGACAAAATGCAGGGTTTAACAGAAATGGATCCACTGTACCTTGCAGCTTCTAGTATTTTTTGTGAAAGTAAAGCTTACAGAGAGCAATGGATCCAGATAGCAGAAAAACATGAAGACTTTAGATTGAATTGGATTGCAATGAATGCAAGAAAGCTAGGTTTATTTTGATTTTTTTGCAATCTTGTGGCTTCTAAATTTATTTCATTTGTAGACAACTTCATTGGCAAACAGTTTTATTTTTCTTGGGATGATGAATAAATTATTTCATTGTCAAATAGTTTTATTTTTCTTGAGATAATGAATAAATTATTTTCTTTTATGTGATTACTTTTATTTAACTTTTCTTATAAATGGATTACATTATAATATATATGTTAGCTAACTATTCTTACTTTCTTTTTTGTTTTGTCAAATAATAATTGGAAGAAGTGTATTGTGCACTCTTTTTTAATGATATACTCAATTTGAAATTTGCAGATGTTGACGGATGAGAAAATACAACTTTTAAAAGTTGTATTAATATTACTAATCCTAAAAAGAAAACAATTGAGGCGTCTTGGAAGAAGACTTGATACAAATTCTATGTTGAGAGGATATGAATACGTAAATGAAATTCTTGATGGAAATCCTGCACATTCTATAGAAATACTACGAATGAGAAAAGAAGTATTTATGAATTTGTGCACTCATTTGCGAAATAAAGGTTGGCTACAAAATAGTCGTTATATTTCAGTTGAAGAAAAAGTAGCAATGTTTCTCACAACTATGGGTCATCATCATACAAATCGCGTGGTTAAAAGGAGATATTGCCATTCGACCCATACCATTCATACATATTTTTATGAAGTGCTACAAGCTATGCTACATTTTTCGAAAGAGATGATTGTCCCAAATTTTAATGGAAACCAGCATGCAAGTCAACAGCAACATCGACTTCTCCAAATATTTCAGGTATTTTCAAATGTAAGTGATCTTTTTTCAAGCTAAATATGTATCTAATTATTGATTTTTTTTGTCCTATTCAAAAGGGTGCTATAGGTGCATTAGATGGAACACTTATACCTGCAATTATACCCGTAGATGAACAAATTCCGTATCGAGGGAGAGGAAAAGGCAAGTGCATGCAAAATGTACTAGCTATTTGTGATTTCAATATGATTTTCACATTCGTTTTGGCTGGTTGGGAAGGTGTAGCACATGACTCTAGAGTTTTGTCAGAAGCCTTAGCAGACCCAACGTGCAACTTTCCTATTCCTCCAGCAGGTTAAATTTTTTTTAACAATAGTATTTTTTTTTTTGCAGTAGTTTTCATCCACAAATATTTATATTTTGATATTTTTTTTTGTGCAGATAAATATTATTTATGTGATGCAGCTTATCCACACACACGTGGCTTTATGGCACCATATCGAAATATTAGATATTGGTTATCTGATTTTCGAAATACTTCTCGTCCAAGATCAAAAGAAGAACGCTTTAACCAAGCACATGCAAGATTGAGAAATGTAATTGAACGTGCTTTTGGAGTATTAAAAGCTCGTTTTCCCATTCTCAAAACGATGAAACCATACCCTTTTCCCACACAAAAAAACATTGTCATTGTATGCATTGCTCTTCACAATTATTTGCGAAGAATTTCTGCAAATGATTATTGGTTTCAACAATATGATGATGATGATGCTATTATACAAAATGGAGAAGAGGTCGAAGATGACGAGACAAACGAAGAAGTAGGAGAAGGATCCAGACAAGCTGATCAATTATTCATGCATAACCTACGTGAAGAAATTACAAACAATCATTTCTAAATTTTTTAGGTCGAATTTATATGTTATATGAATTATTGGATTGTAATGTTTCTTTTAATGTTTTCCATAATATATTTCTTCTTTTATATTAATTTGATTTAAAAATAAATATTGTCTTTTTCATACCTAACAATTTTAAGTTAATTAAATCATAGGTTCTATTTTCTTTTTGGATTAAAAGATAGAAGGGCAAAATTGTACAATTTAGCTTATTAAGCATTAAGTTATGAATATTTATCAAACAGTATAAATAGGTTCAGCATTAAGATTCAGACATTCATATATCTCTTTTCAGTACCTAGAATTCAGCAAATTAATTATTTCAGTATTCAGAATTCAGAATTCAGAATTCAGATTCAGTTTTATCAAACGGACCTTAGTCTGTATTGTTGAAAGTCATTCTCTGGGGCTGGGTATGGAGGTTACCCTAGTGGTGGTTATGGAGAACATGGCTGTGGCAGCCGTTGTGATTATGGTGGATATATATTGTTTCTACCGTAACGGTGATATTTTTATAATTTAATTTATTATATTATTCAAGGATATTACCGCTTTGGTTGTTGTGTGGCCGCAGTTATTAAGGTAGAGGTTGCAGGTGTTGCTCAACATTGACTGTCAATCCTAGATAGGCAGTCAATGTTGAGCCTCTGAATTTAAAAACCAGCTCAATCAATACTTTACGTGGCTCAACGTAATACTTCCTCCGTCCCACTTTAATAGTCATATTTCTTTTTTCACACAGTTTAAGAAAAAGTAATTAACTTTGTTGGAAAAGTAAATTTAGATTGCTATTTTCCTAAAATACCCTCACATTAAATATGGTACAATTTTATGGGAACTTGAATTGATGGTAAAAAAAGAATTAACTCTCATTAAATAGGATAGATTTATAGTAATAACTACTTACATTGAATAAGGCACATTAAATATGGTACAATTTTATGGGAACTTGAATTGATGGTAAAAAAAGAATCAACTCTCATTAAATAGGATAGATTTATAGTAATAACTACTTACATTGAATAAGGGTATTTTAGGAAAATTAAAATACAACTATATTCTTTAATTGGAAAGTGGATTACAATATGGGACAGAAGAAAAAGGAATACAGGATTATCAAAGTGGAATGGAGGGAGTAATTGTTTTGTCTAGAGTGAAACATGAATAAGAGCTTGATCAATGGTATCATTCATCCATCAACATGTAAGTTGGCTCAATGCAATAGTTGTTTACCAACTTTGTGTAATGAAATGTTCTGGCCAGCTCACGGAGTAAACAACTCCTTACACCTTCCTTTCTTTTCCGAAGTATAAAGGCCAAAGAGGATACAAAATAAGAAATATGAAAAGGATAGAATAACACTTGGCATTAGAAAGTCATTTCATGTTAGTCCAGTCGAAACTTACTCTCTTTAGCCTTGACTAGTAGAATTATAGGAAATCACGAGTGCTTAAATTGATGTTTACAATTGAAACTCCTATATATAAAATGAAAATTATGGGAATTTGAGAGAAGACTATCTTAAATTTAAAAACATTCAAGAATTGGCCTGCATTAGTTGTTTTTTTTTTTTTGTGTCCATATTTTGGGACATATTTCATACTTTAGAAACTAAAGTATCTCATTGCGAAGTTCAGGGATCAAAATAAAATTATAAGTATGGTTGAAGGGTAAAAAGTAGAATTAATCTTTTTATTTGGTTCTGAATTCTGCCCTGGTTCAAACTTTAAACTGAATGGCTCTACGAATATGAAGAAACAATACAGATTAAAGTAAAATTTTGGTTACACACACGTAAGCTTATTCCATTGTTTCTAACATTTTCATCCGTTGCACGATGAAAAACAAAAACAAGTTCCAGAAGCATGGGCAAAATGGATGGACTGAACTTTGCAAGCAGTACACTCTTTGGCCATTGACAATTAAGGCTTGAAATTTTTCGAGACCATTAGTCCAAAATCTGTGATGGGGTTCTTTTTTTTTTTTTTTGTTTTTTTTTTCAGTTAGCGGTAGTAAGTGCAATTGTCTGATACCACTTGTTAGAATTCAAGCGCGGAACAAACAAGTATTGAAATATCAAGTATACAATAATTTAATGATAAACAAGTTACAAGTATGAAAGATAAATGACACATAATATTTAATGTGGTTCTGCTCCACTATTGAGTCTATGTCCACAAAGAAAAATTTGTTCATTATTATGAGAGGAAAATCCTATACAAGAATACAACTTGAATCAAATCCCAACTTGTATACCATCTCTCACCCCATGTATAAGATTATATAACGCCTCTTGTGTGTCCTTGTCTGTCCCCTTGTGTAGTATGTCGATCAATTTACCTATTTATAGGGAACATTATTTCGTCAAAAACTCAAATAACAATATGAAATCAATTCTAATTCCTAAACTTATACATAATAGGAAATAACTTTTAATTCTAAATAAAATATGAAATTTCGTGACAACTACTTCAAGTAACTAAAATCAATTAAAAAACTAATAACTTTTACATAAAATAAGAAATCTATCTAAAAGAAATTAAGTCAATTTCCTAATATTGTTCATTACACGCGCCACACAAATCAAAGAACATCAACTGTCATTTTAAAAGGAAAGAAAACATTTGCTGTAAAGCTACAATAGATGCTCTGGATATATCATTTGCGAGGAAAAGATTGATTAGACACTGTAAAAGTAAAAATAAGCATTATTGGACACATGCTAATTAAACCCTTAATGGACTAGGTCACTATATATGCTGTTGAAGGTCATTTTCTACAATTAATATTGTCGACCATTGACCTGCAATGTCGGTCGAAACCTCCCGCGTTTCTTCCTAGTCGATATACCCCACGAGGCTGGCGGACAATGTATAATCGAAGTAGATAACTCGTTGAATTTTCCACGCATGCATGCAGAATTTAATGATTTATCCACTTGGCTGCTGGGCATAATTAACGTGTCCGGAGGCATTAAATGGAAGAAAAATAATATTATCACAATATCAAATTATGGAAGCGCAACAAAAGGTGCAGATACATACATTTAAAGGGCATTTAAAGGTGCATAGGTCCTGGTAAATGTTTCTATTTTGAAAAAACCATAATACATTCATAATTTCTCTTACATCTACCTTGTATATAAAAAAAAGGAGAAATTACTGTAACAACTTCTTTTTTTATCAAGTGTAGAGTCTCTTATTTTAACGAGTGTCAGTTTCTATTTGTAATTGAATTTTTGCTCCACAATTTTTTTTGGTTAGTCAAAAGTCATAAATATCTCTCCTCCTAATTCTTCTTTTCCACAATTTTTTTTGGCTAGTCAAAAGTCATAAATACCTCTCCTCCTAATTCTTCTTT